CTCACCAGTGTTCTGGTGAGTGTCTGCCCTACATCAGAGTAGCACGCGCTCACGCCACTCTCTGCGTCGTCTTGGAGACGCGCGTGTAGTACACCTTTAAAAGTCCTTCGCGTTAGTCGAGGGAGTTGGGAAGTTGTAAGCTGCCCTTAAAGCCTCCTACATGGCTGTGTAGGAGTGTTCGCTACTTAAGGGATGGTGATTGGGTGTGGTACTTGTGCTAAGCAGCCTCCCTTCCCTGTGTATCGCAACTAATAACTTCCGTTGTATGTTTCACAGCATGCCCCATTTATTAAAAAAAAAAAGTAACTTTCACTTTGGGAGAGCAGTTCTATCTGAACCATTCGAACGATAAGTGCCCCTCATTCTGGGAAGATCAAACAATTTGATCCTAAGCCTGCAATCCAGGAAACGCATGTCACGTCTTGTAAATCCGAGATGGCGAGAAAGCTGACGAACCAGTCCCGAAGTTCCAAAGCCCCCCCCCCTCAGAAGAAAGCAATCACATAAGCGGGACGAGTATGGAAGAGTTTCCAACCTAGGAGAAAGGAGGAGAATAGTAAGACCCGGATTCGCTTCCTCCAGTTGAAGGCAGTTCGCGACAACGCAGTGGCGCCATCTCCAGGGCCGCCGAAAGGAATTGTGGGGCCCGGGGCAAATATTTAGGAGGGCCCCCTTTCCACTCGTCTTTCCCGCTTTAAACACACTCAATCAACCCTTCATTGCTAACAAACGCTACACTACTGAACAATAGTTTGTTAGCGGGCTGGCGTGCCCCCCCCCCCCCCCAAGCATGGGACCTGGGGAAAATTGCCCCTTTTGCCCCCCTCCCCTTCTCAACAGGCTTGGCCATCTCTATCTCCTATTTCGTACGTGTTGCCTATCGGTCTGTAGTTGGAGCTCCTGAAGAAATGATGAAAGCAGTGGCGCAATCAAGTTTCTCTCCCTATCTTGCGCTGGCGGTCATGAGAGGTATATATCCCCCCTCTTCGAAAAACAATGAAACTGAATGGGGGATGAAAAATCCAGGTTGCGCCGATGAATGAAAGCGTGACATCGCCGAGTCATTGTATATCTTGACGGAGGGGAAAATGGACCGCTGTATTTGATTTGAAGGTTTCATGTTAAGGAATTTCGTACCCGGTGTTGCACATAGATAGTCTCTCTCCTCTACAACCTAAACTATAGGAGCTAAAAAAAAGTAATATATTTGGAATCCTTGTTTAATTTCGATTTTATTCAAACCCTTTTTTCTATTGTCATATGAAGTAATGTATATGTCATATGTCATATATGTGAAGAACTTAAATTTATTGATCGCATCCGTGCTATTAACGTTTCGAGAAGCTCAAGATGCCGGAGCTGAATTCGTTACCCGTTCGTGGGTTTAAAAAGAGATTAAGCGTCCAGCTTCTACCTGATAAACCCCTATTATCAAAACTTTGACCGCACAGCAAATGCTGAAAGACTCAGGGATTGATTTCTTTCGAAATGCGGAACGGCCAGGAAAATCTCCTGATCTTAATGTGACTGAGAACATTTGGGTTATCCTGAGAGATCGAGTTTGCGGCTCTCATGCAAATGGGGGACAAGAAGCATGGATTCTCCCGGGAAACCTTGCATAGCAACATCGCCGGAGTGTTGAAGGACATGGAAGATGATGCGGAACTCTTTAAGCGTCTCTTTTCATCTAACTTCGCTCGTCTTAAAGCTGTCAGAGACGCAGCCAGGGTGCACACATATTTATTAAAAGCACATCTTAGATTCGAAAATGAATACTCTCTCGTGCTATGAGATTTTTTTTTCTAGCTCTTACGGTTTAGGCTGTGGAAGGGGGGGGGGCTATCTATGTGCAACATCCGGTGGACAATGTCTAACAAGAATGTGTGGGAGGCTCGTGTGTCAATATGAAGCAAGGAAACGAACCCGATTAATTTTTTTTTTCACTTCGCAAAGCACTTGCATCACTGCAAAGCAATTGCAACAATTTTTGGAAATTCGTTTTCATTCGAGGAAGATGATGAAAGCCGCGCTTGGATCTGCTTATTTTCACCTTCTTCCATGGGACATTGGAGGATCCGTTACACGAAATTGAAGCCATTGACCCCCCAATTTATTTCTTCCTGGGAAAAAAAGGAAGATTACTTTCATACGAAAGCCCATTGCGAGGTCCAAAGGTCGAAAAAAGGGCTGAGCTGGAAGGACAGCTGACCTTCGAATGCTTTTTTCTTCCGGCAAACGTGCTCGTGTTTCATGAAACCCCTTGAAATGCCGAATGTCATCGGACTTGCCATCTGCCAGGAATGATGAGCATTCGTCTTAAGAGTTGACAGCTCTTATCTCCGTCAGCGAGCCAGTGATTTGCATGACCGGTTTTTATTGGATGCAATCGGGCCGTTTTGACAAGTACATTTCGAGCCCTGAAGCATTTCTCGTTTCAAATTAATAAAAAAAAAATGGAGAAAAGTGTTGAGCAATGGGAGTCTAATCGTTGCTTCTGCTGGGACTTTTGTCTTCACCAAGTGACCATTTAGGCATTTGGAAAAGTTAGTGAGTTTGAATGCACCGTTCAGACACTTGGTCATGGAAGGTACTTGGAAGGTACTTTGTGGTTCTTATTGCATTTTCACCGATCCCAGTAAGATTGTCCGTTACAAATTTTCAAGTGTGTTTGTTGTGTATATTATATTTTAAGTTAGTTGGAAAAAAAATTAAAGTCATTAAGGGTCTTTTTTTTGCTGACGTGGTGACTTTCTATCACATTTGGACGAGAATAATTTTTTTTTGTACTATGGGTTTCGTTATAAGACATTTTCCATGAAAATTTGAGCTTCTCTTGTGATGAAGAAAAAAATTATCGGAAAATTGCAAAAACTAAGTAATTTTTTAATTTCGCAATAGACCGCACAAGAGACTTGACGACCATCACACTCGAAGGGGAAGCAGAAACTGCGACGCGACCCGTCCGTCACTCGCTCTCCCCCCTCGGACGGCAGATCGGCGGCGAGGGATCGGCCTCTCCCGTCTCCGTGACGACATCGCCCCGATGACGTCACGAGGCCCCCGACGGGTGCTCAGACCGAAGCGACGTAATCTGGAGACGCTACCGTACTGTCTGCACGTTCGTCCCCGACGACTTCTGGCCGTCGCCCGGTCTCGGAAATTAACCGAGGAGGAAACGCTCCATTAGTCCAGCTATTGGTTCCGGTCAGTACTTTCCAGGACTGCAGGGTCACTTTCGACAATTGCTAAGACTTGACATTCGTACCGGTCGCACTCGCCCTTCACCGTGAATAAACCTGGTCAATTTCACACTTTGACTTGCTTCTTCCCCCCTACCGAATCTCCTTTACTTTTCCCTCTGCAGCTCGCAGAAGGCAGACAAAAGGGTGTTTAAGCGATTGAGGCGATATCAGGACGATCCAGCTTTCTCGCAACTGGGCCGGGGATCAGCTGCGAATCAGGTTCGGCTAATGGATTCTCCCTTTCTCCTTGTCGGAATGAAAAAGAAAACTACACGAAGACCGCATCTTTCCCTGACAAGAACCACTCTAATTAATATTTTGGTTTAAATCTAAAAAAAAACTGAAATGATATTTGCAGCACAGAGATGGCTTTTTCCTTCTCATTTTATTTCAAAGACTTTCCATGCAGACTGCCAATGCCACACCGCTTTCTTAGCAAGTTTTCAATAATTTGATCGGAAGATGCTCGAAAAGGAAAAAAAAAGTTTTTGGAGACCGAGATAATGGGCGATCCTTCACATATTTTCAAGGATTTTGACATAATTTTCCTACAGCTTTCTAAACTGAGTACCAGTAATATCTGTCTTATTATTTTTTATTTTATACAAGATTTATCCTTCTCATATAAAGAGAAAAGAATATCCATCGTCGTTCAGAATGTCTTTACCTTATCCTGCTTTGTGCCAATTTAGTTTTAGAATATTTCAACAATTTACGACTAACAAATAGCGTGAAATGTATGCACGAGACATCAAGTGTGCAAACTGTGCAACAGGAAAAGGCAAGCCGAAGTCGCCCCGAGGTCAATCTCTCTCAGTTTAAGGAAATCCATCCTTCAAGCTTCGCTTTCAGAAGTAGGTAAGATAATATCGGAGGGGAGGGGTCGTGATGATGTTATTTAAGCTGCAGCGAAAGAATTTCCCGAAAGGGAAGAACTAGAAAAGTTGCCTTTCTCTCTGGTCCACAACTCCCGAGAAATGCTGTAATTTAGGATGCTTATGAGAACGTCCTTGGAACTGACACGATAATGGTATTAAAGCCTCAAACTGAATTTTTTCTTCGGATTGAGTTCACTGCTCTTCGTTGATAAATGAGTTCCTCCCTTGCGCGTTCGAAGAAGCGTGGTATTCGTCCCCAGTGCGTCGCCGCCAGATGACTATCCCTGGCAAGGCAACAAGCAAGGCTACGGCAAGGCAACAAGCAAGATTATGGCAAGGAAACAAACAAGGCTATGGCAAGGCTTTATTTATGGGAAGGCTATCCCTGGCTGGGGAAGGGTTCTCGTCCACTCGCTGCGGCGAGATGCCCTGTTTTCTCCTCGTTTCCCTCCACAGGAATGCTATCAGCAACGTTGTATAAATAATTTGAACTAACCCCTGAACAGTTTGACGTTTCTGTCAGTGGGGCAGTCTGAATAATGAATGGCTGACACCTCGTCGTCGCGTCTGTTCATCTTCGTAATCGTGTTCATCATCGTGGTACCGTAAATTCGTGTTCCTTCTCTATCCATGATCTTTCTATTTTATCATTCTGTCTTCTCATGAGACACACTCGGTCTAAATTTTCCACAAAAAAAAGAAATTCTAGATGAAAGGTGCTGGTGGGTAAGAAAGAAAAACGTGACACCTGATCCCTTTCTGAGAAGAGTTTCCCGAGTGTAAACAAGCTCGGACTAAATTGTAAGGTCGATCCGTCAACCAGACACGTGGCACATCTGCAAGGGCTCAAAACCTCAAGTCGACTTCTTTGAAAGCTCCAATGTCTGCATTGAGGTTGCACGGATGCGAGCTGCAAGAGAATTGCAGCAGCCGTGAAGAATGGGACGGAAGCCTGGCGTCCACGCCGATCGCATTTCTACACGAGCGATGTCTGTGGGAGCGAATTCTGCAACGTTTCCGGCGCTCCAGCGTCTGCCATCCCGATCATCAGCTGATCAACCACCATGACACATGGAAATGGCGTTTGGGCCAGGATGCGGGTAATTACTCTTCCTTTCACGTTCCTCTCCACCCCATCCAGGGCCCATCAACAAGAGAGTCGAGGGGGAAAAATTCTTCCATCCCGGTTTCCTCACCTTAATCGATGATGACACGGGCGTTCTGGTAACGCTGCATCCGACTGCTTTTCTCAGTGGGAAAACTCCCACGAAGAAGAGGCGGAAAGAAAAACGTTTCTCTCCGTTTTCTCGATTCCCATCGTTAATCCAATGGCCTGATTTGCAGAATCCGGGACCAACAGTCGAGGGTTGCAAAATCCTAATCGGTCGAACAGCTGCTAGACAACTTTTTTCTCCTTTCCTCCTCCCCGGAGAATGATAGGGTGTCAGAGAGGGATATGCGTGAGGATGATTAGATTATTATTCTTGCCGAGGTCAGAGAAAATTACCCGGTTCCCTGGCCCCACCCGGGTCATTCCTGTGATTCCGCATGCCCTCTCTCAGTCCCCCCATCCTTCACGCCTACTTATCTGCATGCCACCTCGTCGTTTTCTTCAGACCGCGGCAGATGAAGCCCCCATCTACTCCACGACGAGCACGGCATTAGTGTTGGTAATGCGGGGTTCATCAGCGACGAAAGCCAACAGTGTTTGGTAGCGTAAATGCGACCACGGCGGGTAATGAGGGCAGGAATTTAACCCTTCTCCATCATCTCGCCTTAAGATGGCGACTGAAATGAAAGAGTTTAGATAGAACATTGCGTCTCCGAATGCAAAGTGAAACTATAGGAAGGCACAAAGCAGAAGGAGTTTTGCTTAGTCACTAGGAAAATACGAGGGCATATGGAGAAAGGATGCCAGCAACGATGGGTTTCATTTAAAAAAATGGAAATTTTTTACCTGCGAGAAGTACCTGTGTCGTCATTCTGCGCACCATTAGCTGATGCGCTCGGGGGCGTGACGCGAATGAGATAGCGGTGACTAGAAGTGTTGTAAAGATGCATTTGTGGAGCATTTCGTCTGATGAATCTTCCCGGAAAGTAATTATTCTGTGGGTAGTGAAGGCCTTCAAGGGGCGAAATGCAAATGCTAACTCTGCTTTTGTCCAATTACGCCTTTTTCGTGATAAGAACCAGAAACAACGAGGCTCGATGCACACGTGTCTGTGCTTGCGTGCGTGCAGGAAGAAGTGGGGGAAAGGAGAGAGGCAAGGAACAGGTGATTTCCGTTTTCCCAAGTCGGGAGCCGACCCTCGGGTTAATGGAGCGATCCCGAGTCTTTTCTTCGCCCCTTTCTGCTTCGATTGCATCCAATAGAGAAACTACAGCGCACTCACGTACCATCCGTATTCGAACCAATTTAATAGTAACGTTAGGCGGGCCTCGTCTCAGTCTGTGGTCAGCCGTCGTGACCGTCATCGGATGTGGGCACGCATTCCCTCCGTCCCACGTGAGGGGGAGAGAGGGAGAGAGGATAGGAAAACGGCACATGAGTAAAGGTGGGATAGTTTTTTACCTGGACTCCCAGGATGGAGGAGTGTGTGCAAGTGTACGGACTTCGTAGGCATGCGGGCTAGGCTTCGATCCTAATGCCGGCTTAGTCGTGAGCATATGATCGATCAGCAGACTTCCTCATGCGCTCCCCGCCTCTGCAGGTGACACCGTCTCCATACTCGCATTCTGTCGGTATTGTTGAGTCATCCATTCGCCGTTCTCCATTGCCGTGAGTGGTATATTCGCCGACTCCGAACGTGTACATTATGTGCTCCTCTCAAGAGACTGGTGTTTGAGATCATGTGACTGATAGTTACCAAGCGGGATGGAGTGCCTTCAAGCGAGAGATTGCGTTTTACTTTTCCTTCTCCAAACTGACAGCTGAGATGGAATATGTTAACAATTTAAAGTAGTTACGGGCCACTTGACAGAAGGTACTTAGACGTAAGTTTTAAAAGGCGAACGAGTGACGGCAGCAAGACCTGCATTGCGAAATTCATGGAGCAGTGACATCACAGAGACCGGGTTTAATGCGTGTCTGATGAGAAACGGAAGGATCCATGAGTCTCCGTAGGGCAGGGTATTTCGAGTGGGAATCTCCTATAAAGAATTGGTGCCTCCATTACCTCTTTTTATTTCCTTTTCACATTTTCTTCTCTGTAGGTGATCTACTCCGTAATATAGTAAGTACTTGAGCGCTATATGAGGGGCATGAATCTTAATAGTGGGCGTACGTTGGTAAAATTCACGGTCTGTCAAATACGAGCACCCCATAGTGAGGAGGGGGTGTGGTTTGTCTACAGGATGCTTCTAAATTACACGGTGACAGTGACTATATTATGCGTTTGTGTTGTCTAGTGCTATAGTTCCTAGAGATTCTTCGAGTCAATTCACTCCACCCCCTCAATCGCACCGAAGCCGGACATGTACACTTTCTCTCTTCGATCATTGAATGTCTTATTTTTTTCTTTACTGCATACGTTGGGGGAGTCATGGAAAGTACTGGCTAGCAGAAGTTCCTACCCAGGCAGATCGAACGAGCTCCTTCTGTATAGCTGTAGTTCGCTACGTCGTTAATGCCTTTCATGGCAGTCGCGAACGCGAGGTAATCATTACGCTTGGTAGCCTTGATACATGCGATCTAAGACGCTCACGCCTTTTAAGATCCCTCTGAGGAGTACTTGTGTTCGATCTGATGGCGACTAGGACCATATAGATATATTTTTTAAAACGTAGCTATTATTTGTTTTGAGATCGGCAGTGCTCGGCAATGTTCATGGCTGCACTGCAGAGGATGATCCCACGTAATCACACCACACCCTATTAGTCGCCCACATCGCTAAGAGATTTATCCTTGAAGAGAGAGAAAGAAGTGATAACTCAACATACATGGCAATACCACGCACAGCACATCCCAGTGTGTCGTCCGTGGCCTGCGTAAAAGCCACTACATTCTCTTGGTGTCCACATGGAATGATGATAGACTTTCCATGGTATTCTTTCTTTATTTTAGATGAACATAACGAGCAAGAGAAAGGAAAGATCTGGTTGATACATTCTGAGGATTCCACGCCTCGTGTGTTTTTTGATTGTCAGTAGAGTGGAAGCCCCCCAGCAGCAGGACATTCCTTGGCCTCAACCCCCGTAACTCATTCGCCATACAAGTGAGTTGTCCACCCAGGGATGTCCCCATTTCCTTTGCCCATGCTTCCGTGTCTTTTAATACGATATTACTGTCAAACTGGGAGACAGATATGGTCATCAGAAAATATTCTTCTTCCATCTCTTCAGCGCTGGTGATTGACTCGTCATGGCAGGAACAACATGTAATGGACCTGGTTCCGTTCTCCGAAAGCGAGGACTACAACAGCGAGATATCACCCTGTGGAAATTAAAAGCAGAATCACTGGTACAGGGTTCAGACGACAGTTTTGCAACTTCAAATATATTAATAATATTGCAGTTCTTTTCTTGAAATGGTTACATTCGCGATATATATTAATATATACCGGTATATATAAATCATGTAAATCTCTTGGACAGGAATCGGAGCTTCATAGCCTTCAGAGGCGACGAGACAATGAACTGCTGCATCTGGCTGCACAGCTATATTGGCTTGAGAGTCGGCTGCGTAAGGAACAGCTGAGGCTCAAGTCCGCTCTGCAGGAGAAGGATCGCGTGATTCACCAGCAACACCGCTCCATCCATCGCCTCCTCGTCCTTCATAACAAATACTTTGCACAGTGCAAGGAGGACGCCCTCGATGATGACGACAGTGCCGTGATCATGGAGGAAGAGCAGTCGTGCTGTCACACGGCCAACCACCAGCGTTTGATGAGGAGCGTGTCCGACGCCCTGGAGTGTGCCTGCATTCACAGGCGCCGTCAGAAGCAGAGACAGGGATCGGAGAGAGAGTGGCGGGGTTCACGGACCCCCTCCGACGCTTTTCTGACCGTCACATCCAAATCGAAGTCAGTGGAGAACTTGGATGTGTGCCACAGGGAAGGGTTATGGGACAGCCGAGGGATGACAATGACGACCACGCATGCCCTCAGCCGAGTGGATAATACCCATCGGAATGTGACCAAGCCCAAAGATGTGAAACGGAAGCGCATGAATAAGATGAAATCCCGCTCTCTCGAGGAGATCCGCATCAAACTCCGAGACTGGGTTGTTCGAAAAACTCCGTCCAAGTCGTGATCTTTCCATGTAGTTTTCCTCATCCCCTGTGTCGTAATCAGGAAGGGCGTCCTTCCATTACTGTGATTTCAGAAGCTTGCCTGTGGTTTTTAAATGTCGGAATGAATGGAATTCGACAGGAGAATAAAAGCAATGAGTTCTCCCTAATCCATACCGTGTGTTCATATTCATTCATGTATATTTTTTAATTGACTTGAAAACTGGATTAATATTTGAATTTTATTTAGTAGCTAAATGAACGCTCAGAGGATGCTCACACATTTAATTCACGTTGCAGGGTTATGGATCAGACTGAGAGAAAAATACAAATGGAAGGCACTCGAATTGCTTCTATTGATCTCTAGGACATCAGAAACTTGAATGCGAAGAAGTCGAATGCTCTGTCAATTTCGCTTTGCAGCAGGGTGTGGAAGGTAGCAATGATGTTACGCCCCACTTGGCTGCCTTCCACACCCTGCAAACAAACTGGAGTTGGCAGGGAAGTCAGAGGACGTGTTCACATTCAAGTTTCTGATGTGCTTCAGATCATATGTTTGGGCAACTTCCATTAAATTTTCTCCCAGTCTGAGTGCTATTTCCGTTATTGCACGAGTGTGAAAGCGGATGCGACTTCCCTTTAAATGACAATAAGATCTCATTGAAATTCTATTATTAACCCATTGTTCGCGGCAAAAAGAAGAAAGTCACCAAGCTGTGATAACCTGCAAAATCGTTTAAAAAACTAAAGTACCCACGCACCATTCGTGCTGATAAATCGCACTGGCACCAATGAAGAAGCTCTCTTACCTCTTCGTTTTGGTTAATTTCCTTGCCTTACTTTCTCTTCTCACGATTAATTTACTTCCTAATAGTTTTTTTCAACGCTCTTTCCTGCATTGACTGCATCTCAATGCATGAAATTTCCTTACTCAGAGGAGAAGGCAGACGGCAGACTTATGCTGTTCTACGACTTCTCGTGGAACGAGGACTTGGGTGTCGTTGGCATTGCTGCGATACATGCTTCTCTTCGCCGTAACACCGATGCTCAGATAAGGATTATCCTTGCTCTTCTGCTCCTGAAAGAAAAACCTGTAGAAATTAACACTGCGTGGGGGGAAAATACCTTGACAAAATTGTCAAATATAAGCGCAATTAATCGTGGGAGTTAATACCATTTACTTTACCATTATTTTCTTTCAAGCCTGAAAATGTAATAAAGCAAAGCGAAACTCACAGCCAATTCGTTCAGGGATACATTTCCTTGTGACGCCGGTGATTTTAAAACAAGATCTAAAGTAGTTTTAACTGTGGAATCAACACTTTCTGCACAAAAAAGTAATCAGTTAGGTTATGGGGTCGCTTTGCATCGAAGCGAATGCATCACGAAGACGAGTAGAAAACTCAAGATTTTCGTGCGAACGCCGACATGACTTAGCAGCGCCCACTTGTTGAGCTTTCTCAATGCCTTTCTCTTTCTCACTGACTTATTAAAGTCGCACCGACACCTCATGAGGTCTTTGTGAAGGTGAGAATGCAAGCGTGCCGAGGGCACAATAAACAAAGACGGGCCCCCGGGGAACAGAGGAGGAAGGATGAAAGGTTGCGGAGATGAATGGGTACGTGCTTCTTACCTTGTAAATCTCCAAGGACGTATCAAGGAATCTCCCATTCGGACTTGCTGGGACGCCTGCTGACGTGGGTCGATGTCTCCGTTCGAAGGCATTTCTATCGTCGCCTGCAAGAAACAGGGCAAATGAGGTGTTTCAAATCCCACCACGAGGAACTTCTAAGGGCTGGGTTTCTTCACCCATGAAGCAGGTATTGAAATAGACAAGCATCCTGACAGATTTCTTCTCGTGAAGACAACACCCCCTTGTCAGTAGTATGTGCACATCCGCGCAAAAACCTCATCTGACTCTCTCTCATTCTCTCAGAACAATGGTCTTTAGTGGAGGTCCTCATCCGGGTCAAGATGGACGAAGTATGATCACAGCTCACACACGGTGGAAGATGCCGCCTGAGTGGTAGAGCATTTATTTTCCACGCTCAAAATCTTAAAGGTGTCTGGACGTATTCCTGGCCCCTGATATGCGATGGGGAGGGATGGAGACGGCATAGTATGATCTCTAAGTAAACGTAGATAATATGTAGGCCTTGTGGCGTAATGGATAACGCGTCTGACTTCGGATCAGAAGATTCCAGGTTCGAGTCCTGGCTGGGTCGGGCTTTTTTTCCCCAATACATTTTTGCTCGATTGAAATCTTCACCTGCATGAAAGGAAAAATTATTTTACCCTTATCGAATCACGAATGTCTCGGACTCCCATGGAAAACAATCGGCCATCTTTTCAGACGTTTAAACAACCATGTTCATGGCTTGTGCTGAATTGCGCCTCTTCCAGGTCCTCCTGTACGTGGATTGTCATGAAGTAAAATGTAAAGAGGTACAGCATCTCCGGCAAAAAAAAAGGCGTTGATTGCGTAACATTCCGGCGCAAAGGTCTAAATCTTTCACGATTCTGGGCATCTGAATAATGATTTTTCACATAGATGACAGAGGGAGCTCAGTGTTAATGCGGAGCCATCTTACAAGATCTCCAATCTCTCTTTATTCTGGTTCAACACATGTTATTTGATCCTTCGGAGGTGTGAATGGATTCATTGAGGCTAGTACGGATGAGAAAATGACATTCTCTCCACCTAGGCCTACCCTTGACAATTGCGAGTGAATGGGAATAAGGAATTCGACGGACTAGAATGGGACCGCATGTGGGGCTTCCCTAATGTCGGTCACGACATGAATCAGCCTGTGACTTTCACATCGGATTTGCCAGGTAAGTCCAGGAATTCCTGGTTCCAGTGATTGGTATACTTCGATATGAAAGGGATGCGAATGAAACTGCCTGAATGATGATATTGAAGAATTCTTTCCTCTCCCCCGCTGCCTTAATGTTTCAAGAGAAATACCTGGAAACCGTTCCATAGGAAAGAAGCCTTTCTTGCATCAATAGTCATGGTACATATGATGTCACCCCCGACTGGGTCGACGATGCTAGGAAATATACCGAACCCCTCCCCCCTCCCTCCTAAAGGACGAAGTCGCGAAAATACTTCCGACTTCAGATAAGGCACGGAATATGACGCAGTGCTGGGATTGAAAAATTGTTCCCGCGCGTGGCGTGGAACAGGCGATAAAGCCGGCTGACTCCATTCTCGTGGGTCACGTAGCAGTGGTAGTCCATCTCCTTTTTTTTTTCTTCTTTTTTTGCTATCGCAAGAGTGGCGGGAACAGGAATGAGATCCAACGGAATTGGAAGGGGTGGCATTGAACGAAAACTTTCACAACATTTGGGAATTTTCCCCCGATGCATTGCTATCATTGCGTGAAAAGGCTCAAGGCTGCAGGGCTTGCTCTAGCGCAACCTTTCTCAACGTGCCCATGTGCCTCGATCAAGCTTGAAGCTGGAAAGAGTAAGAGGAGATGGATTCCAGATATCAAACTAGCTCATTTTAGGCTCGTTTTGGCCTAATTATCTGAAATACCACTTTCATTCACGTACTTTTTATTATGTTGGAAGAAAGTACCGTGAAGAGTATGGGAGTGAGCTTCACGGTACCGAGAGGGAACAGCATTTTTTTTATTTCGTTGCTCGGGCGAGACGGGAAGGAAAATGAAAGCTCAGGACTGGAAGCATGGGAAGGCATTCCTGGCTGTGTGTACCGGACGTGAAGAAAAACAAATTACATGGGCGTCCCTCTCTCCACCTCTATGCACCGTTCCAAAAAAATAAAACCAAAACAAAACAAAGAAGAGCGATGGAGTAGGTGTGGGCGGGACGATCCCTCGATCGCCCTGTCGAAACTCCGGCAAGAGTCATGTATTGTATACTGAATCGAAGGAGACAAAGAGAGCTTTCCAGCGATATAGAGTACGTCATGATCGTGTCAAGGAATCTCGAGCAATGAACGAGAAAAGTGGGAGCAATATCCACTCCAGAAGAGCAGGGGAGTGCTCAGTTTTTTCAATTTTAATTCTATTATTGGGATTTTAAGAAGACTCGAAGAAAAAAGTAATACCTAATCGAATGTACAGGGACAAATGGGTAAGAAAGCTCGGCCTATAAAAAAAAAAGATTGCAAAACCTCGCGTGAATAATTACATTTAAAAAGGCGAACGGATCTGTCTGGCTGTGAGCGGGAGAGCAAGCAGCGTCTTTGTTGCCTGTTAATCGTGTGGGAGTAACGCCGAGGTCTTACAATTTTTTCATTCTAGCAAGGTACTTCATGTCCATTATACTCATAGAGAAGTGAGTTGCAGTTATTTCCTATGCGTGTCCGAGATTAATTTCCTTCGTATGTTGACCAGATGTGTTTCTTGATTTGCATGTGCATGTTTTCACTTCCATCGTGGAGACGGTCGGATAACTCGGGTCAGGAGAAGTGGCGTAGCGAGGGGGGCTTCAGCTCCCCCCCCCCCCCCCCCCCCCCCCCCCCCCCCCCCCCTGGGGGAGGGGGGGGGGGGGGGGGGGGGGGGCTTCCGCCCCCCCCCCCCCCCCCCCCCTCCCACCCCCAAGGAGAAATTAGGGAAATTCTAGCTCCTCCTTCGGTGAAATCCTGGCTTGGCTACGTCACTGGTCAGGAGTATCCTTTCGACTGGAGAATGGAGTAGCGGAGGAGATAAGAATCCTGCCCGCACTCCGTTCTCTTCGCCTCCAGCCATCAAATGTTCCAACCAGATTCCAGAGTAATTATAAGCTTTTTATTTATAATTTCAAGTGTAGAGAGAAAAATACGTATGGCTTCTTACTATTGAATTAAACTTGCTTCTTATAAAGAAATCCCAGTGTTCAACAAAGGCCGAAGGAATGGGGTCGGTGCCTATGAAAATTTGGACAATTCACATGAGTATCATTTTGAGAAAATTAAATTTCCTACCAATATCAAAATAACTCCATCTGGAATGGGGCATCTCAAGGCAGCCAGCGGAATTTGTCATGTATCGGTGGATCTACTAAGACTCAGGCAATCCATCCCCACTGGGTTCATGTTTAGTTCATATATGAGGGGCGCGGTGTAAACTCTGGAGAATTCACAGATCCAATCAGATTTCAGTTGTTGCAGACACCTACTTACGCGTAAAATATTCTGAGTGAGATAAACAGGAAGTAGAGCGCATACACATTGAGCATGACACATGTTAAAGATATAAGAATGTCCTTATATACCGAATCATGAATGAGTTCCACAGAAGAATGAACACAGACATCTCATCGTTCAACATTAATTATAGCAGGACCGTTTCTTGACCTTGTGAGGCCCGGACCAAGATTGCGAGGCCCCCTTTCCCCCTTTCAGCTTTTAACAACTGCTGATCCTGATGGAAAGAGGCAAAGGGGACTAATGCTTTGCATGGTGGGAATAAAAAAATTCGCACGACACAATTGCTGACGGAAAAGCGTAACCGTTTGTCCTTTCCTATCTGTGTGAGCCCCTCCCGGGGACTACAGGCCCCAGGCAAATGCCCGCTTTGCCCCCCTCCCCCACTTAAAAACGACCCTGATTATAAGCCAAAAGTAACACATGGAAGAGGAAAACTAGGGTGCTTCCTTCACGATTTAGATGGAAAATTATAGGAAAAGGTGAGTTCGCTCATGCTCAGTTAAGTCTATAAAGGATGACTGGCTCGGACCATCACATGAATTCACGAGCAGCAGGGTAAATGAGCCGGTAAGTGCAGTGAAACCAAAATAACGAGAAACTGAATACGTCATTTTCATTTGTCATTAAGACAATTTTTCTTGATTCTCCAAATTTACTACGCCATGCAGATCTTTTCTTTCCTCTCACTGAGGGCATTGCAGCATCTAGCTTGAACGATCATGCTATTTATCGTGCACGGTGGACCTATTGCTTCTAAAAGCAAAGATGGAACGTGACATACTAATGAATTTTCTCACCCGTAGCCAGTGTATAATTCCTGAGTTGGGCTATCGCGGTATGCGTGATAGTGTCAGTCTATGTGGAGCGCCATATTCACAGAAGGTTAACTGCCAACTATGCATTTGCGGAGCAACATCGATTTCCTTTCTAGAAACACAGGTGTCGGTTCTCCACTATCGGCTACCGCATGGCGAATGATAGGAAAGTTGGCAACGTGCATATAAAGCCCTAGAGATAGAAGATGGTTTTAGTCTTTCAGCTTTGATTGAATCTCCGTGAACCAACTATTGTCAGGATTTGAATAGGCTTAGTAGTAACACTAATTGGAAAGTTCGGTGAGGCGGTGTACTCAGCCACGACCTAAGCCTACAACACTCACGTTTTAAACTCTTGCTTAGGTGAGCCATCGGTTGATGAACGACAATGGTGGTCTTCACCTGCAATCACTGTGGCTCTTCGCTCAAGAAGAATCAGGTGGATAAGCATCGTTTCCAATGCCCAAATTGTGTGGCCGTGTCGTGCATGGATTGCGGGAAAGACTTCTGGTGGGTTCGTAAGGTCTAACATTAGGCTTTGTATTCATAGACGATAAGTAGCGACTCGTGTCTTCCTTTACGGGCACAGAAGGATAATTTTTTTCAAAATTATCATGAAGGCATGTTCAATCTATGTAAATTTGAATCATTTGGCCTCGCCAGTTTTTTTTTTAAATTTAAAGATATTAATTATTTGCAGTTGGTAATGTCACCCCTCAGCAGAGGGCAAGAGCTGGGTGGGTGGGTTGATAGATTTTATTATAGGCCTACTTACGTGAAAGCTATTTAATAGTTTTCATGATTGGACTTTGTCATTTAGAGTAATTACATGAAAAGGGGTTCTTCATTATTTTTGTGATTGCTGGATGCTATTAGCCTGTATATCACTTCCATGCTTGTATAGAGTGGTTAAAAGAAACACTCAATCTCATGGGGAAATTCTTAGGCATAACGAATGAAAAGTATTGCACTTATTGAAAACCCCAAGAGGACATGCTGTCATTGTGCTTGGTCACATGCTACAGACTTTCATTTTCCAAAAATGTAGGGACATGTAGTGAAGCGGGATCTTCCTACTCTCAGTCTTCTGAGGGAAGGAGGGATTTGTAACACATCCATGATGAGAAGAAGCAGGCAAGCATCTACTTGGCCATTTGTCCCTTTCAAGCCTTCTCTGAATATATAGATATTTGTTCTTATTATAAAATTAATTAAGCAATTAGAAATGAACTATTAATCGCCTACATTAGATCCTGTAACTATGTTTGACCTATTTTTCATCACTTGACTAACTGCAGTTTTGGAGAATTTCTGTGCCAGCAAACCATACCCCAAAGGAACTGAAATTTAATTGTTTAGGGTGGATTTTGAACAGAGAACTATCCGATAATGCTGCTTTATTTCCAGGAAATATAATATATTTTCCCCGGAATAAAGCGTCATTATTGGATAGTTCTGTTCAAAAATCCACCATTGGACTTTACCTATGAACATTTTTCAACAAAATTCATCTGCCTGGTTACTATGGGAAGAAAAATGGATGGTAGTAGTTTGGGAACTAAGTTACCATATTCTTAATTTGAGAAAATTTCCTTTCAAAATTTCTCATGTTAGCTCTTTCCAAGAAAATTCCAGTCTTAATGAGACTTGTGCATGACTCGTGAATGGATATTGTACTAGTCCATGTGTGTCATGCTCTTGGTTTCAGGGGAGAAGAATACAGTCAGCATACAAAGTGTATCACTGAAGAGGAAAAATATGAAGGAAATGACTTTCAACCCAAACCCAGCCAGAATAAAGGCGAGAAGAAACAAGAGGCATGGATAGAGCACATCAATAATGTCATCATGACACAGAAGAAGATGGAACCAAAACTCAGATCCTTACTGACAAGGCTTACACAATACAGTAACATACCCCGGAAGAGAAAGAAATTTGAGGTAGGTTCCAATTGTTATTATCTTCATCAGTCTTCACCATCTCATGCAGGATCATTTTGCAATTGAAAATGAAGCTTTAAAATCTACTGGAGAAGTGCATTTAATCCAAGTCTGCTCCCCTTATGATTATGTGGATTTTCATGTCATGTTAAAAGAAGGTATCCTAAAATAAAGGGATAAGTATATTAGGTATATGTGGGAAACATACAGGGTGGACCACATAAAAGCAGTCTGAAGACAATTTTACACCTAAAAATAAATACAAGGGCAGTGTGATTGTTGTTTTAGTCAACAAAGGATGTCTATAAAAGCAGCACTTCTCAATAAAAATAAATAACAAGTAAAATGAATGTAAATAAAAAATACTAATAATAATAAATAAATTGGCTGTAATTTTATTTGCAAAATTGCCTTCAGCCACTTTTATGTGGCCCACCCAGTAGATGAATTTGGGAATGATTGGAGCATACTCCTATTTAATCATATGTGATGTTTTATGATTGTCATGTACTTTTTTTCAATAGTGAACTAGCTTACTTAAGCCAGTTGGAAATAATTCTCTGAGCATGGCACACCAGAGTAGCACACACTGCCTGTTGCACCTTATTGTCAGTTTGGAAACAATGCCCTCAGAGAAGTCTCTTTGAAACGCCAAGCAGATGGAAGTCACTGGTTACTGAGACCAGACTGTTGTGAACAAGGTCCAGTGGGACATATGACACATGCAGTGTTGCCTTTCACTATTGCTCTGCAGTAACTTGCTGCATAGCAGCAGTTTTTTGCACTGAATACCAGGTTTAAATTAATTAAGAAGTATTTCGCTATAAGATGCACTTATTTAATGGAGCTATTTAAAGACTATATTATGGCCCTATAAAACCATTGCCATCACTTTGATCTCCAAATATCCAGTTGTTAAACCCACCTGCCATGTTTGATACTGATGACATGCATCAATGGCTGTGTGAATTGCTGTGAAATGGCACAGAATAACTTTCAGGTATGCAGTAGTCACAAGCATTCTTGTGTCAACTGCATTGACTGTTGTAGTTGTTTGCCCCCATTTACTTTTGGATTCCCCTTGTATATGTCTTCTTACTGAAACTACTTTCATGGAACTGGGGTTGTGTATTGACAGATATGTTCCTTTCAGTTTTTCTAAATTGATCAAAGTTCATATTTCCATAACAAGGTTATTTATAATTACAAAAAATATATAAGAAACTGAGAATAGATTGGGGATCCCAGTTCTTTCAGAATGACTAGACTCCCCTCTCAAATTTGAGTAAAAGTTACTTTCAGTTTACCAATTTCATTAAGTTACCTTTATGAAATTGACCTGTTTGAATATTACATACTGTCATTAGATGCAAATGGATTAAAGAATGGATCAGGCTCAGGAGTGAATTTTGATGGAAAGGCTTTGGTGTGACTACCACCTGGATGATATAAAGCATAACGTGAAGGTGTTGCTTATAACTTTATTACCCAGCATGGGGCTCCTGTCCATTTTCATTTCCAACTTGTTCATCGCTGTTATCCAGCATCCTGAATTAAGTTTTGCCAGTCTGTTTGGGACATAACTATGGATTTATGGACTGGATTTAGCTGTAGTAAAAGCAAAGACTTGATTGTTAGACATTGTGGGAGGGGGTATTTTTGGCATGCCCTGTATTTGTGTCTTATGTGAATTTAAAAAGCTCTGGTTAAAAATGAACAAACCCAGTGGGTTTTTTGGGTTATGCAATGCATTTAAGGAAAATCTCTAGGTTTGCTATAAGCTACTAAAATGATATATACTCTTAGATTAATTTCATTTTGTGACTTGAGTGATTATTTATGATTGAAAATTTTATATTTAATTCTGAAAAAGTTTATCTCAAAATGTAAGCCTTAATTCAAGAATATTGATGCCAAGAAAGGTAATGTACTGCAAAAGGTCCACTGCAACATTGAAGCTTTTTGTGTAGTTATGTGTCTTTGCCAAGGCTGCATTGATGCCCTTTCAGTTCTACTCTGATAGAGAGAATCTTTTCCATTTTTGAACTTACTAAATCAGACTTAAGAACTGTATGGGGAATGAGAAATTAGAGAAAGTTATGAAATTGTGCAGTATTTTCCAAAATGGAGAGGAACCAGATAAGTGAATCTAGTACTTGAATTGTGTTTCATGTTGACTCAACTTCTGATCATTTTTTGAAGAAATAATACCTAATTTTTGTTGTTTTTACATCTCTTTTTGTTTAGAACTTCATTCGGAACAGTGTGAAGGCACCAAATGATGTCATTGCGAAGGCTTGGGATGTGTTTGAAAGTTCTCTTAGAGCCCAGAAAAACAATGACATCTCAAATGGGAATGAAGAAAAGCAGAGTAAGGAACTGCTGAATGGTTCTAGTGAGCAAGGAAAAGGGGCTTTGAAAAGGAAGCAGCAACCATGTGAGCATGATGATGAGAGTTCACCCCAAGAGAAGATATCTAAACAAGGTGAGGTTTATGATGAGACCAGCAGTTCTCAGATTGTGATCCATGTTCAATAAGTACTTTACTGGTAGGTCTTCAAGGTGAAGTTGCACATTCATCAGCATATTGTTCCTGAAGTTCTTTCTGCCCTCCTAAGTTTTTTATTTTTGAATTTCTATAGAATTTCTAAATACCATTAAGTCTATTACAATTGAGTACATAGTACAGATTATGAGTGAGAGTAAAATGCTTCTCTGCTCTTCTCATGCTCAGTCTTTCTAACAGTCAAGTGAGTGTGGTATGGAGAGAATGGGACATTGTTTTCCTCTAGAAATAAAGAAAGAGGAGGCAGTTGTTGGAGCAAGCCTTCAGTCAGACTCACAGCATGCAAATGACTGACTATTATAACTTCAAAAGCAATTATTACTCCATACTTCCATGGAATAGTTTTGAGTGATAGTGTTATTTGCCCATATCCAGAGGTAAATCTGTGCCAAACTTCATTGCATGACTTCATTGTTCCTAAAAGCATTTTTGGATGTCCAATCATCTGTATTGGAAGTACTTATCTCCAATTCTGAGTTTTAACATGCCATGGAATGAAAGTCTCTTTACCCCATCTATTCAAGCCTACTTATGCCCTATTCTGAGACACTTTTTTCATCCCCCACCCCTTTTAGATGGGGCTGGAATTTTCCTTAACTATCCTAAACTTCTATTAATGGTACGACTTCTTTTTTTTTTTTAAGCTGATTTGAAGTGCATTTCTTAAGCCTGGAATTCATTCTTTGCAGATGATGCAGATGAAATCCCTTCACAAGAGGAAGTGCCAAAGTTCAAGTGGAAGTCTGTGATAAAGCAGGCTTTGAGAGAAGCTGATGGACAAGAATTACCTGTAAAAAAACTGCGCAAGAAGGTACTGAGTGAGTATCATGCAAGGGGAGGAGATGGGAAAGGAAACAGAACCTATGAGGAATTGTTAGTAAAATTCGACAAGATGATTCATTCAAGTCCCAAGCTGAAAGTCTCCAAAGAGAGGGTGAAACTGATGAATTGACATGTCCAAACTCCTGCTTTTTATCGTGTCATCTTCTCAGCTCTTGTGACAGCATGAATGGCATGTATAAAGTTGATGCCATATTGACTACTGTAGAATCATTGTTGGTTAGCTTCTGTATTTGATAACAGCTGCGACCCTGCAGGCATGGAAAATGTCCCATTATTCACAATGCAGGCAGGAGGCATTACCTGTCTAATTTTAATTATCACAATAGGGAAAGCCACACTTCAGATTCAGACTTGTGGGAAATTTTGTGGAATTACCTTCATCTCACTTGGAGCCTACACAACTTGAATCAGTTTCCCTCTCATTCTACTGTAACCATTACGTTAGAGAAACCTGCCATACTTCATGTTATCCATTCCCTTAATGATCTTAAATGGCTGGATGATGTCCCCCCTTGTTAACTTTTCTCCCTGAGTGAATGTAGCCCCAAATGCTTCTAAATGTACCTCACATGAAAGCCTTTATCATTTATCATTTTAGTAGCCTTCCTGTTAACCCTCTCCAGCACCTTTGAATGACTTTCACTCACAAGCCTCCAAAACTGAACATGATCATTTAAGTGGGGTTCTGCTTATGATGTCAAGTAATGTGTGAGGTCCTAGTGAAAAAATGTTTCATAATACCCATAGTATGCTGTGGAAACGTAAGAAATGTGCCTTATTTGAAGCATCATCTAGAATCAAGATTTCCAACAATCTTATTAGTGAGGAAATATTGCTCTCAGGAAAAGAATGTAATGACAGGTTTTGTGTTGTTCTCTTCACATTCCAGGACAACCATTCCATGGTTTTCCAATTTCATGTAGGCGGCCATCCCTATACCAGAGCAGTCTTAAGTGAATTTAGATTATTACTGAAATCGTTAAGACGATTCCAAGAATTCATTTGGCTGTTGCAGTCATTCCTTTTGAGGTTCCTGTAGATGTCCTCACACTTGTTACTAGAACCCCCGGGGCAGTCATTTTGATTGCTCGCCGATTTTTAATACACTTAGCTCGTTTGGCAACTAAGGGCCTCCGCAGTTTTTACTTTTCCTATCTAATATTGACATTTTAACATTTTGAACATACCGAATAACATGTTACAGATTAATCATTTGATACCACTTTTAATACAGCAGTCAAATTGACCGCTCCGGTAGTTCTAGTGTTAAAAAGCACCGCACGGGACTGGACGAGCCGTGAAACATTTGTCATCCTCTGCTTTATTCACTGCCTCTCTCTCCCGAGGTGAAATGGAAGAAAGCCTGATAATACTTAGCTAAACGATCAGTCTAGGAAAAGTTTTCAGTTTTAGGAGTTCAACGTTCAAAATGAATAACCAATGCAGAGTAGGGGTGCGGGCTATGAATTTTGGAGACTTTCGCTAGAAGAGTATACCTTTTATCTCACAGCTGGAGAGAGTATTTAAGGGAAGGAGGATGGAGTGCGAGTTGAGGGAGAGATTCGGATTGAGGATTGGGAGCTGAGATTCAAAGCAGGGCTTACAGCTGTCGTTCTGCTGGAAAATTTCAGATGGGATTTTAAACTGGGTAAATACCCATGAAAGGAGAAGTTGATTCTTCTGATTCCGTTCTTACATAAAAGAAATTCCGGAACAGTAGGCTTGGAGGTAAGCTACTCATCTCATCCAGTCTTGTTGCTGAGAAGGAAGAAAAAGTCAACAGGTTCCCTGTTAGATGCCAACGTCATCTGAAGACCAACAACCAGAGGCAAGAGAGGAAACCATTACAATCTTGGCTCTTAAAGCTAGAGGTCCCCTAAGGGAATTTAAGATCCTAGACATTGAACCTTTAGCTCGCCTGTAGTGGGCACATACCGATCAAACATTTCTTGTTCACCTGCCAGACTGATGTCCTTTTCGGCAAGAACGAGAGGCTGATGATATTTCCTGCTGCAGCAGAAAACAGTCGGGAGCCGATCATGACCCCCCCACCACCAGGCGTGGAACATGCATTGCAAGTTGTGCAGGACCGCTTTGATCAAATTTGGTGTTATCTCCCTTACAAGAAGGAGGTATATTCGAGTCTGGATCGCAAATTGACGAAACAGGAAGGGCTCAGACTATGACATCGAGAGACCAGCAAAGCCTCTAACAGTCTCGTCCAGTTGCCTCATCGCAAAAGTCCTTTTCCCTGTCCCGACGCCGGGTCCGAGGTACGATGCCTAGAAGAGAACCAAAGGGAGCATCAACGACAATATTGTCCCCCTTAATGGAATGAATGTACCCATTCCCCCAATTTCCCAACTCCTCTTTGCGATGTTCTAATGCGTACTTCCTTTCTTCTCGACTTATTTCCCGGTCCGCCGGCCTCGTTATCGCATTCACCCTGTTCAGCACTTCCATCTACTTCTCTCCACTGTCAGAAGCTTTCGTTGGCCCCAGTGGACAGGACGATTCGTCCTGTACTCAGTCTGCCTATCGCAGCCTTGAGATAATTTTTCCGGTTGACTCCGAAGAACCTTGTTTCATGAATTTGTGATCTTTAGGCATGCATCACTGCACATGCAGACGTAGTGTTTTTCGCTCGAGTCAGGCATTTTTTAAACTTGACTTCAACACTCATGCATGAGTGTCCAAGTCATATAAAATATGCCTGCCTATATCAAGTGAAAAACACAAGATAGGAAATCGCTGTACAACATCAAATTAAAAAACGCGGAGGGCTCCTTGTGGTGTCTTTCCCCACGCCTACTTCATTTTAAGTCCGATTCATATGTAGTCAGTGCATATTTGTCTGCATATGGAAAGAGAAACCGAACCATTTGATTCAGATGATCATATCATTTGAACAACCACAAATCCTTACGGTATAAGGAGGGAGAGAACGTCGCATAAAGCCAGGGCTGCCCAGAGAGGGGGGGGGGGGGGCAATTGGGGCAATATCTGCCCCGGGCCCCACATATGAAGGAATCCCAAGGGCCTCCAGTTTAGTTTTGCCCCGGGTCCCTGGAAACCTCTGGGCGGCTCTGCATAAAGCATTTGGAACAAGGAGAGAGAATATGAAATGCTGCAACACCTTCGTCATGGACGGAACGAGCGAGTGAGAAAGAGCTAACCATAAAAAAAACTTCCTGCACCGAAATCCAGGAACATTTCGGCACTCTTGCTCATTTCTGTCTCGCAAGTGGGGCACATTTCCTTATTTCGGAATGGCTCCAGTACGTCTCGTAGGCCAGCCTGAACTCTGATTTTCATCGTAGCATGATGACAGTTGAGGTCCAAGAATGAATCCCTGCTCCCTGATAGCAACCTGCTTCAGAATACTGCATGCATATCCAGAGCCTACCGAGGATATTTGGTGCCCTGTGTGAGATATCCTTCCTCCCTCTCCCCCTCGGTGCGAGATACCAATCCAGCGCCCCCCCCCCCCCATCTATACCTCTCCAGCTTCCCCAGAACCGACAATTATGTATTGATTTCTACGTTTAATTTAGCTAAATTTAGGATAGTTTGCATTTTCTTTTACAAGTTTTATTAATATTTTTTGCCTTGGCAGCTAATCGGCGCTCCTCAAGTCGGCGCACCGTTCGCACCCCCCCCCCCCGGTACGGCTCTGTGCGTATCCCTCTATCAGGGCCGGATTAAGGGGGGGGCAAAGGGGGCTGTTGCCCCAGGCCCCACTCTTCCAGGGGGGCCCTCGAAGGAAATCAAAAACGTTAAATATTTGCGTAAAGTAGCGGGTGGGGGGGGGGGGGGAGGGGAAGGGGAAGGGGAAGGGGGGGTAGCCTCAAGAATCCACTTGCCCCGGGCCTCGCAACTTCTTAATTCGGTCCTGCACTTCATGGTTTGGGGATATATAATAATTGAATTTATCTGGCGATGATTTGTTCCCGAGCAAGCGATTTTCACGCTCCAGTCTTGTTTCCCATGTTAGCAGAGGTTTTCAGAGGTCCGGGGCAAAATTAAACTCCCCATGCCTTGAGGCCCTTTGGAGGCTCCATGATACGCAAGGCCTGAGGCAGATTTTCTCCGATCCCCCCCCCCCCCCCCCCCCCCCCCCCCCCCCCCCCCCC